ATTTTTCCAAACTTGTTTTATTCTAAAACAAACAATGCAAAAATTATCCCTTTAATTATATTTTATGTTTTTACATTACTGTTATTATTTCTATTGTATTACACTAACAAATAATTTTACAAAAGAAAGAAGGATGTATAAACATATTTCATATTATAATTATACATGTTCATGAATACTTATGTGTTTATGTATAAATATGTTTATACATATTTATACATCCTTCTTTCTTTTGTAAAATTACTTTTTAGTATAATAGAAATAATAATGTGAAAACATAAAAAAATTTTTACCGGGAGATTACAGTGAAACTCAGATAAATCTGTATTAATTATTTTATAATATTTATTATATAATCGTTCTAAAAAATAAAAATGAATTTTAATTAATAGTGTACACGTAATTTATGTGGCTGTGAGATTGCCATTAAACATATATTTTTTAAATACTAATACATTTAGAAAAAAATTAATGCTAATAAAGTATATCGATGGATTTCATTAATTAAAATTCAATATATATTTCTCACGTACCATAGATCACAGTTTCATCAAGAATGTGCACCTTTTTTTTGCAAAAACGCGCGAGGAAGACGGTGAGAAACATGCGTAGAAAATAATGAAATTCGATGAAGCTATAAATGAGCACGATGGTTACAAAGACCCCGATCAGGACCCAACAAGTCATCATCCTCGCGCCGCGCGGTTGCCGCTCCACAAAAATCAATCCGGCGACAAGCCGGACGCTCTCCGGTCGGAGGTAGCTAGACTCTTGGATATCTTCCACCGCCGCAACACTACTCGCACCGGTTTATCGATTCGTCTGGGCGGTCGACGGCGTTCCTCGTCCCGTCAATAAGAATGCAGGTTGCGCTCGCATCATTTCGAAAGACCACGAACGAATTGCAGCGACGTCAACAGATTCATCTTAAAATGTTGGATTATGTCATTCTTGTGAGCCTTGTGTTGACAGAAATTAAAATCTGGACTTAGACTTCCGGCATTCGAGGGTCAGGGTTTTGGACTGAAGTTTAGCACGATTCATACTTCACATTACAGTAAAAGCTAGTAATATCTTCGTTCACAATCATACATTCTCTCGATTATAACGAATTTTATTACGGCATGCGTGTTGCAAATATTAAATATTAAAATTGTAACTTGACACATACATACACATCGATGCTAAATAAATAATTTTATTGACAATTAACAGTTGACTATCAGCGATCTCTCCCACAAGATTCATATCAAATTAATAAAATATAATATCGACAACGTTAATAATTATTTAATAAAACAATTTTGTCAATTAAAAAAACTTCAAATGATGAAAATCATGTCAGACTTATGAGTTGCGTCCAGAGAGTGCGTTATCAGCACTATTGTATTTCATTTTATCGTTTATTAGATAAAACAAGGACAAAATGACATGGTAGGACTAATAGTATTTTCTCCCCAAAAGTAGCCTAATACAAGATTAAATGAAAGAAAATAATCCGCGCACACTTTATAGCCTTGTCCATGATATAAAAAAACTGATGGAACATTGTTGCTTATAATAGCTAATAACAGCTAATTAAAGAACAAAATTTATTATAGGTATTTTGCATTATGAATAGATAGAAATAGAAGATAGAAATGAGTATATTGCACCTGTCTTAATATATTGCTTTAACCTTGTCGAGTTGAAGGTAAACAAAAAACAGAGAACCGGTTCCTGTACTTCCTACCCATACTTTATACAGGAATGTCCTAGGAACACCTATAGGATGTAAAGTATAGGATGTTTTTTTTAAACGTTTCTAAAACATCTCTTGAAGGCCTGCTATATGGTTATAAGATTATTTCAAATAAAATTCTTTTGAAATCACCAATTATTATAAACTAATTGTACTTGCAACTCATTTGTTTGCGTACTAAATTCGTAACATCATCATGAAAAAATTTTAAAATTTTCTAGCCTTATAAAAAAGGCGATTCATTTCGAAAGATAATAATGATGCTACGGCATGTGTGTTGTGTGTGTGTATACGTGTATGTGTGTGCGCGCGCGCGCGCGCGCGCGTGTGTATGTGTGTGTGTGTGTAATGTTTATCTTGTTTAAATAGGGGAAGAAAATTGAATCGAGCATGATTAGCGTCATTGTGCTAATCGATTGTTTTCACTGGCAAAAGAATCGGCGAAGAATCGAACAAGGTGAAGCAATAGACTTTTGCATTGCATAGAAACTCGCTTTCGATACTTTCGCGTTTGTTACATTATCAGGCGGAACACGTTCTCCCTGACCCATCGTGCCGCAATTGTATTGTTCTCTTCCCAAAAATTTAGCATCTACATACAAAGTCCGGTTTTTTATGTAATATGCACAATGTCACTTTCCTTGATGTATCTCATTCGATTAACACTTACGAGATCTCTGATGAATCTCCGGTAGATTTTACGACGAGTGCTCTGATCCAACAAAATCTTCCGAAAACGGTCCGGGCCCAGTACCAAACGGAGGAATCATACACCGATGGTGAAGTCTTATCCTGCCAATGACATCTCGTGCACTGATGATCAACGTCCTCGACTGGCCGTTGCCGGTATCGAGGAATGTCCCTTCCCAAAAGCCGCATCTGCGCCGAGGACATCCAACTAGGAAGTTCGGCTTTTAGGTGGGAGGTTCAGAGCGGCTCAGAAAACTTTGATGACTAACAAGTTTTAATGATTGATCCCGCGAATAAAATAAAAAGGCCAAATCAAAGTCTTTAATTAAAAGGGGTGAAATCATTCTGCTAGAATCTACGCATCGATAATCGATCTAATAATTGCACGCGTAATAAGGATTATAATAAAGTTAAACAAATGGTATTCATGTTTTAATAACAGACTCAAATTTTCTTTATTTCATGTTGTTTAAATTCTTTTTAAAAATCCTGAGCACTAATGACATTATTTAAGAAAATTCTTGCAAAATATAATAAAAATATTTTTACTAACAATATTTGCATTGATACAATACGTTCATAAAATATAATAAAAAGTTTTCTTTTTGAAAAAGTTTTATTTTGAAATAGAATAAAATCTATTTATTTTAATTGAACATTTTTTACGAAGTGAAACCTTGTTTCTGGTTAGGCGTGATTCAATTTCAAATATATGATTATTTATTGATTATCGGAATACAAAGGGGAATTTCCCAATGTATTTTACAAATCCAATCTATCGATTATAAATATTTTATTAAAAAATATTTTATATAATTTCATATTTTAATCATA